AGCAGGAAAGCAACAGACATCACAGAGCTAAGGACTGGGCACAGGCCAGGACCCAAGTTTCCTGACTCCAAGTCCTCTGATCTCACCACTCAGGTTGGCATGGGAGGGTCACATTCCTTCTATGATTGCAGAAGACAGTCCCTCTCTTGATCTCTTCCACAGCCATAGGAGAGGGGAGAAAAGCTGGCAAGAATCATATAATCTTGTTAAAGAACTTAATCTTTCTCTCATGCCTAAAAGGCTATTAAGAGGGGCCATATTATATGGTTATTATGAGTTACAGGATTAAAACTGAGGGTTTAGAGTTTAAATGAGATAATGTGAAAATCACATTATCACATTACCAAACAGTAAGTGCCCAGCAAGGGGAGTCTTGCAGCCTTCTGATGGATTAGAATACAGATGTGTGGTTAATTTTGTGTCATTAAGAGCCCAAGACTTCATGCAGTGCCTCCCAGGGCCACATAGGTTGGCCCACTGTGCCCTGTCTTTTTCTGGGGTCCTGAGTTTCATTCTCGGTTCTCCATTCCCCATTGCAATGGCCAGGGTTACACGATGAGATCACGGTGATGAATGATACAAGGTGTTTTGAGTGGCATGGTTTACCCATCAGCTACCATGATCCCCTATCACACAGGAGGGAATGCAGGCCCAGAGAGGGGCAGTCACCCAGCTCCTGAGCAGGGGTGCAGGTAGGTATGTGTGGCTAACAAAATGGATGTCTCCTTATTCCACCAACCTGCTTTGCCTCCAGGCAGCACTTCCTCACTTTGAGCCAAAGGTGCTTGGAGACGCATCAAAGCCCACCTCTTTCCAACAAAAGGAGCCATGGTGTGTGGACGCAGAAGGACAGAGCTGAGCCTCCACTCACTCTTGCTTCAGGTCCTGTATTGGTCTCACTCAAATGAGATCCCAGAAAAGGGAAGAAGAAAAAACTCCTGTGTGCTCAGCCTTTCCTTGCTTCAGACACAACTGTACCCTCTGCGTATGTTGATCCATTTGATGTACCCCCCTCCACCTGCCATCAGGGGAGGGAAGCACTCTCAACTACTATTTTGAAGATGAGACAATAAAGGCTAGACAGAGATGTCTCTTTCCTAAGATCACACACATAGAGAAGGCATAGATGGGGCAGGACCTGCAGTATAAAAGGGCTATTGTAACTTAGGAAAGAAACACCAACGTCAGAGAGAGTGGGAGAACGAGAGAGCACTGGCAGGAAAGTGAACAGCATATGGCACCAACTGGGCAAATATTCGGACTGTCAGCAGCTGGTTCAGGGGCAGGGTGGGCAATCTGAATCACAGACCTTGGAAGCCTCCACACAGCCAGTTCCTCAGGCACCATAGAGATGTCACGGCAGGTCCCCCAGTGCATCCCCTCCCCTAGTCTCATCAGAAACAGGCACTTGTGGATGTTGTGATTTCTCCCCATTAAAGAAAAATGTGATTTACACCATCTGCCTGCTTGGTCTAAAACCTGCTTATTAAAAATCTACTTTTGGGAGCAGGAGAATAAATGGCAGGATTCCCTGCGGACCCCTCCCCATCACATCACCATCTTGATGCTGAGAAAACAGAATTAGACCCCTGCTGCTAACTGTGTGTGTCATGTTTCTGCGTTTCCTTCAAGGTGCTTAGTGTCACTGCCCTCCAGTCATCACCCCTGATCCTTTGATTAGATTTTAATTTCTGAACCTTTTCTACTATGGCCCACTTTCTTTTAGCACCCTGGACAGAGGCATTCCAGGAGCAGGTGTGTGTGGCTGCTGAGTGGCCCTAGGATGTGTGGCCTGGCTTCTCCTGTACTAGCTTGCCCATGTCCTAGTCTGTGCTCAGCTACGCTGCTCACCCTGCTCCAGAGTGGCCCTGCCCTTCGAACCATACCATCCCCGACAAGGACAGCTCACTCGAGCTGGCGCTGTGCAGCTGAGGCGGTGGGACAGGCCAGCAGGGGGAAGCCCCAGCTTGAGAGTTAGAGAACTTGGCTTTTGCCAAAGACCAGCTGCATGCCCTCAAGTCCCTTAACAGCTCTAAGATGGTTTTCTCAGCTCACGAATGACTGGGGATGAGGAAGGCAAAATGGGAAAACATGAGTGGAAGTGCTTTGCCATCTGCATGGAACAGTTTGAATGTCAAAGAATGTCAGGCTTCTAATGAAAAGAACCCTGGGCAGGGAGGTCATAGAATCCAGCACACTGCTCAGCGCACAGTAGGTACCTAACAAACATCAGAGCAATGCCCAAGAACTGAAGCACAAGACACAGGGCTCAGCCTAGAAAGCAAGAGGGACTGTAGTTAGACACGAGAAAGAACTTCCTATCAGGATGGTGAGACACTACAGGGCAATCTTTGACTGGATATGCTAAGGGCTTGTTCTCTGCCTCTGAACACCGCTTCTCTGTGTGAGTGTGAGGCAGACCAGCTCAGTCCTGCCTGGTGGGCTTGTGAAGGACAGTTTCATGGGACAGTCCCTGATTCTATCCTAATATTCAACAGTGTGAGGATGCCATGATGAAGCAGGTCTCTTAGCAGAATGCAACACTTCCCTCAGCATTCCACAAACAGCCCCTCTGTGGACTGGAATCACTACCTGGGGACCAATGGTCAGAGCTATTTACAAGATGATCAGGTAAATAGTTGTCTGGCCCACAAGAATGTGCACTGTGACCTCCACAGGGGAAATCAAACGAAGGGCTCTAAAAACGTCTTTTGTCACAGAACCTTATCCACACACATTCATCTTCAAAGTAATGCCATTCTGTGGAACTTCCTGCAGCAGCAATGGGGTGCACTTGAACTGCAGCTGGCAAGATTGAAGAACTGTGTTCAGATGTGTTTTCCTTTTAATGAATTCAGATTTAAATACAAAAAGCTACACATGCCTTGTGTCTACCACTTTGGCTGACATGGCTCCAGGGAACCTGGTCTGAGAAACAGTAGTGTAATGGTAATGGTGGTATACTGGACTAGGATCTAGAGAACCAAGGTTGGTCAAATCCCATTTCTATTGTTGACTACATCAGGGATTCCAGGCAAGTCATGCTGTAAACTGGGCCTCAGTTTTGTCTTCTGGAAAGCAAGTGGTTCGACCAGGTTCTCTGGGATGCTGAAACAGCCTCTCTACGGAATTGTGCCTGAGACCTCCAGTGCAGCCCAAGTCCTGTGAGGAAGACAGGTCAGCTTACTGTCCTAACTGCATTGTGTGTATAGGCCTGCTGAGATCTCCAATGAGGTTGCCCCATCTCTGAGAACACAGCCTATGTGTTCTTCTCTTTCATCTTATGCATGCCACAACACAGGTGAAACTCATGAGGCGCTTGACAAACGCCCATTGATTGGCTATCAAGGCACTCATCCACCTTGCTAGTCCCTCTCAGGGCCTGCCTGCTAAACAAAGCTCAGAACCAGGTTCCCCCAAGTTGGAGGATTTCCAACTCCTGAGATTTCATTTTAGTTCTCTACTCCTCTGCCTTTTTTAATGTACTTCAAACTAGTAGATCCCTCTGCCCAGGGCCCACCCATGATTATAATTCACTTTCCTCTGAGGACATCCATCAGGGGAGAGAGATTCAAGGGTCCTGAGTTGAGGGGGGACCAAGTCCACATGCCCCTGCACATGCCACTCAGGTGTACCTGCTCTCTTCCCAACTTGAACCACTATCGACTCCAAGCTCTAATCAATGACTCCCTGGCAGACACAGCGTCAGGATTCTTCCTTCCTTCTCTCAATCCTCACCTGAAAGGATTCATCTTTTTGTGTCTTCTAGCAGCCCTGTGGGCAGGGACCATTCCTACATGACAAGCCTCAAGGCACATGGAACACTCAGCACAAACTCAGTGCCTTCTCAAATTGGTGACAAGGACCATTTCCTCTCTGCCCTCACCAGAGGGTTCTGAAAGGAGCAATATGCCGTAGTGACAAGACCCGGATTTGAGGTTGGGCCTGTGGTGGTTGATATTATATGAGCCCAGGAAAGCCACTTCACCTCCCTGAGTTTCACCGTCCTCAGCTTTGAAGCAGCCACCCAAACCCAAGGAGTGGTGGCTATAATTCAGTGAGACAAAGCAAAAGCACCTTATGAGACTCTCCCACTGTTTCTTTGGTAACACAGGGTAAAAGCTCCACACATTTGTGTATGTGTTGGACCTGAGAGGGAATGCATAGGTGGAGGTGGTCAGGTATAAAGTTCTGGTGGAGTAGGTGTCCCTGACTGTGACATGGCAGAGCACAGAGTGGTTCTCATGGAAGAAGAAATCTCTCCACTGGGGCAACCTTCAAGGACCATAGGCTAAAAGCCAGCAACAGGTGAGCCATGCAAGACACAGTGAGAGCACCTGCAGCCGGCACCTGCCTGATCGCATGTGGGTGTGCAGCTGCCACTGGGAGCACACAGCTGCTAGACAGTGTCGGCTGAAATTAGCTAAATCTCAAAAACACTAAATTTATGTCACAAATTGTCTGGGAGTCAGAGAAGACACGTTACTAAAACCTGCATTTGTAGGGGGGAAAAGATTTATCAGGAATTGACCTTGGACCCTGTTCTATCAGCAAAACCTGCTCTTCAGGGGAAAGAAGCTCTTCAACTCATCAAGTACAAATGCATTCAATTTCATATTTTCCCCCTCTCTCTGTAGCTCCTCAACAATGAGGCTGAAAAAGTGGGAATTGAGTTTGCAGATGCAAAAAAGGCTTGGCAGCTGGCCAGTCTTGTTTCAACCCAGCTCCATTTTTGCAATGTCAGAGAGTCCTAGCAAAGGGCACTCCTCTCTCTCTCTCTCTCTCTCTCTCTCTCTCTCTCTCTCTCTCTCTCAGACACACACACACACACACACACAACCTAAGGACATACAGCAATGACCAAACCCATTGATTATGGGCCCTGAGATCTGAGGGACCCCCTCCCACAAACCAGCCACCGCACCTACAGCCCCAGGCATGGGCACAGAAGCTGAGAGAAACCCACAAGACTGAGGTGGAGGCAGCCCTGGGAAACTTACATTCTGCTTTGGCACAGATGAGGCAGGCGGTGGTACAGTTGAAGAAGTTCAGGATCCCAGCCACAGCCACACTGATGTCGGTGTTGCTGGGGTGGAGGTTCAAGGTTGTGAATCTCTGGAGTTGGAACTTGACAAACTCCTCTGGGGCCACCTTGAAATGAGGAACCTGGCAGCAGGTGCAACAAAGGATGGTAACACAGGAGGCGAGGAGGATCCAGGGGGGAAAAAAAAGAGAAAGAGTGTAGCGTGAGCCTGGGTGGCAGTGGGTGGATGCTTTCATGTCACACCTGTGCACACACCAGTGCAAGATGGTGTTGCAGGGGCCCCATGATCCATAGGAGGAAGACACCATTGCATTTCTAGATGTTTGAGTTAGGAGGACAGGATGGGAGACCCCTTGGCCAGGCCCTATGAAATTGTACTGGGTCTGGGGACCAGAGAAAGCTGAAGGGATCTTCATCCTCAGCAGACAACCGGTTCCAGTAAGCACAGATCATCAGGATACCTTCTGTGCAGTTGATAAATAAGAACAGAGAGGACAACAGAAAGAGAGAAAGGAATTAAAAAAAAAAAAAAAAACCAGTATCCCTGGAAATGAGGAAGGAGCCCTGTCAGCCCAGCCCAGAGGTAGATAAAGCAACTCTCCCAGCAGATGTCCTGGGTGACTGCTGCAGGGAAGCAGGCACAGGGCTGGGTGAACCTGCCTCTGGGAGAGCAGGTAACTGCAGACCCCAAAATAGTCTAGAGAGCTCTGAAGGGAGCCGGCTAGATAACACCCTGTTTTGCCTACGTTAGGACAGTGTCAGTCATGCCTTCTACCTCTCTTCTCCCAGGAAGAGATACTAGCAGGCTGTGAGCACTGTGGTATAAACAGCAGACACTATTGGCACATTACAACGCAATAAGCTGCCTTCCACTAGCCTCATTCCTGGTATTCAGAGCTGAGGGCAGAAGCTGAACACCAGCTGGTCCTGATGTTAAAGCAAGTAAGACTCACAACAGACACCAGAAAGAACTTCCTGATAGTGAGTTGCTGGGCTGAATGGATCACTCAGAAAAGTTTAAAGCAATTTTCTTTGCCCAACCTTGTCCCTGAGGTCCCACTCTCAGGAATCTGGAGAGATGCTGAGAAGGTCTCTGAAGGATTCTGCTATCTGCCTCATCCTTTTAAGGTTTTTTGGAAGCAGACAGCAAGAAAGCAGAACTCAGATTGGGGCATGAAGAAGCTTGGCAGATCCCCTGGGGAAGGGCTCCAGAAGATCAAGGGCAAAGGGTTTGGGGATCTGCAGATCTTTGCATCCAGACTCTACTGTGTAGATTTGAGGGCAAGAGCAGTATCCCACCTCTACTTCATTCCAATGGAGATGTGGAGGTGGAGACAACCACAGGTGCTTTTTAGAGCTATTGGGGGTTGGCAGGGTAGGGGTAGGGGATACAGACCTCTTGTGTGAAGGTCATAATAGCTTGATGGCTAACACAAAGGGAATGCTCAGGCAATGCCTTTTCCCCTTTCCCTCCCTAAACACTGGAGACCCAGAAAGTACTCTGAACTGTATGTGCCAGAGTGAGGTGTCCACCAGTAAGGGAGTAGAGATGGGGGAGGGGATCACTGGCATGGTCATCACTCTTCAAGTCTGCCAGGAAGCAGCCAGATGTCCTGCAGGGCCTGGGCAGGGGTGGCCCAGCCCCATTCTGCTGATTCTCTCTCTAGGACAAAATGAAGATCAATCCCTAATCGATTTGCCATTGCAAATGCATCCCAGGAAGTGATCTTGGAGGTGTGGGGAGGAGGAGGGGTAGGGAGGAGGAGAGGTGGAGAGGAGGAGGGATGAGCAGGATGAGGAAGGCAGTGAGGTAGAAAGCGGCAGCCACAAGGGCTGCAGAGATATTCAGAGCACTTAAAGGGAAGGGCTCCTTGGTGAGAACTCCATTGCTTTCCCCTGGAGCTGGGGAGAAAATCAGTGGAAGGCAGTTCAGCTTCATAAAATATTAAAAGCAACGCATAATCTGAATGGAGATGAAGGGTTGCTGTGGCAGGAACATGACCAGACAAAGGAGGGGTAAGTGTCTGGCTGGCTGGGCAGCGGCTTAGGCAAGGGGAAGGCTGGATGGAGGGGAAAGCTGCAGGGTCAAGGGCTCAGCCTCTGGCCTGAAATGTCCAACAGGGTCCAAGGAGGAAGCAGCCACTGAACCCCAAGAGGAAGCTATGTCTGGGAAGGGAGTTGGCAGGGTTGTAAAGGACAGGGAAGAATGTGTGGTGAGGAGCAGAGAGAGGCAGGAGGAACAGCCAAGGATGGAGCAGCAGAGGAAAAGGGGGAACTAAGGTCCTGGCAGACCCACTTGCTAAGAGCAGAGCCACTGCTGGCAGAAGGATCTGCTGCAGTTAGGAGCTGTGTTTTAGAGTCCAACAAGAAAGATTTAAACCTGAGGTCTAACCTCTGCACTGAGGCCTGGCAAATGCAAGACGTGACTGTGACAGTACAGGGGTTGATTTGTAGCCTGGGTGGAATCACCTTTCAGGACATCCAAAGGGGAAGCAGGAGAGGGGTTGACAGAGAGGAGCCCATCATAGCAGGAAAGCCCAAGGGGGCTCACCCTACTGCAAAGTGACCCAGCTTGTAGAGGATCAGGACCAACTTTATGCCAGGCGGGGCTAAGCCAAGAGGGCCCGTGGACATGCAGGAAACAGTTCTGAGGATGCAAGCAAAAAAAAAAAAAAATTGGAGGTGGGAAGATCTATATTATTCCCAAAGACAAAGAGATTCAACAAGGCTGTGGTATACGAGGACAATTGCCAAGGGAGCCTGAGGCAGGCAGAAGTATGTCAGAGGCACACCATCTCCACTCCCCCAGCCCTGCCACCTACAGGGGAAGCTTGCTAAGACAGATTGTAGACTGTCCCATGGTGGCTCCCTGTGATGTCAGAGAACCAGGTCCTCCTGCAGCTCAGGTTTCTGCAAGGCTGAGCCTGCAGACCTCCCAGACAGGTGCATCATGGGTGCTTCCTTTCGCTGCTCTTCCTCATCCTCTCCCCAGATCCTGACCTCATATCTCTCACAACCAATCTGCCTCTGTCCCCCAGGATTTTGCCTAGAAAGGCCACTGAGGCAGAGTGGCTATGGGCTTTCCCACTGTCCCCAGGAATATAATTGAACGAGAAGGACTATGGGATTCTGGGAAAGATGAGGAAAGGCCAGCAATATGCAGCATCAGTAAGTGCCAAGTTTGTCTCCTCTAGGGAAGAAGGGGAGAGGACAAGAACGGAAGTGACTCTAACACTTGTTCCCTACCATTATTATACTTTCTCACATGGGACCAGAGATAATAGCCCCAACAGCTTGGGATTAGAGAGACTCCAGTTCAAGGCTGCACCTGCTGAAAGGAATAAACATGGGACAGTTTACACGAGGAAGACAGTTCAGTAAGATCTCTGCTCTGAGAACCACCCCCCAAATATATTTTCACAAAATGTAGCAAGGTCTCCCCACCCCCAAGACTTTCTTCCTCAGACTCCCAACCTGTAAATGGGTCACTGTGGCAGCTCCAACAGGCATGAGGATGAGTATTTAGTCATCTGCCCTCCCTCTACCTGCCACCTCCAGGAGGCCACCTAAGGCCATGCACCTTAAGAATCTGGGAACGTGGCTTGAAACCCTGTTGTCAGATCACTTCTCTGGGATCCCTTTGTGCCAACTGCCCACTCAGCCCATGCTTTTCATTTGTACAGATGTTGTGGCTGCAGCTGGTAATAGCAACCCAGGCTCGATGGTCTCTTCCAGTCCTTAGGAACCAAGGCCATCTCCAGCCCAGGCACAGGCCTTTCCCACACTGCTATTACCCCCCTCAGGCCCAGCACTCACCTCCTTCTCCCCGCAGATGTTGCTGATGATGGAACTGGAGGCTGGGCTGGATGATGGTCCCAGGACAGCTACCACCCCTTTGGGGAGGATCTGACACACTGCAACCATGGCAGGGGCAGGAAAGGAGAAAAGGAACTCATCAGAAGGGGCCTAGACTATAGTCTCAAGTCCTTCATTTCTCAGCAGCTGCTATCAGCTTCTGCCCAGCCTTATCCAGTCCCCCTCTCCAATCCTCCCAAACCCACTGTGACTCCTTTTCCCCCTGGACTGCTGGCCTCCACGATGATTTTACTGGAGTTTATAGACAGTATTAAATGAGGAAATGACACAGGTTATGACAACATATGGCCACAGGCAACAGGGTGTGTAAGTCATCAGGGCTGTCACTGAGGACAGAGGCTAATGGAGGATTCCATCTCCTAGTCTGGCCTGCAGTGGAGCAAAGGGCCGAGCACAAAGAACAGATGCCCAGCCTAACATACCGCAGTCCCATGAGATATAAGCAGAGCCTGGGATGGAGGAAAGTAGCCAGGCAGGGAGCAAAGGGTGGGAAGGATGACACATGGAGGAAGCAAGCTGATTCAGTCAAAGACAAAGGCAAGATAGTGCCTGGGTCCCATAAGTTGCCTGAGTCCCATAGTGGCATGTTCAGGTTTGAGGCCCGTCTCTGTTTCCGACCCAGCTTCCTGCTAATGAGCACCCTGGGAGGCAGTGGTGATGACTCCATCTCCATGGGAGCCTTGGTTTAAATTCCTGGCTCCTGGCCAGGGCCAGGCTTGCTCGGTTGTTGCAGGTATTTGAGCAGTGAAGCAGAGAATGGAAGATATTTCTGTCTCTTCCACTTTCAAATAAAAACATTGGCAAAAATTTCAAAAATAACAATCAAGATCTTTTAAAGTGGGAGCAGGCAAAGAAGAAAATGGGGATGCGGGGGCAGAGGAGGGCCTTACCTGCCTGGAGCCTGGCACATTCTCTTCCCTGACTATGTCCCTGACCTGCCCAATTGGTGTGCTATGGAACGTGTACTGCCTCCGCTGGGAATGTACCCTGCCCTCCTCATGGCAGTGGACACACACTGCTGCCTTCGTAGACCTCCTTGGGTTCCTTGGAGTGTAGCCCCTGCTTTCTGCTTCTATCCTGAAAGGCTTTTGTCTGCCAACTTCAGCCTGAGATCTGAACTTCTCCTCTCATTCATTATCAAACCTCATAAGGCAAGAGTGAACAGAACCACATGTATCTCTAATCCCACTTGGGAAAGGCAGCCAGTGCATTTCTAGTGAATGAATATGGGAACGAATGAATGCATCAAGCAGTCAGCAGGAGTGGATATGTGGCTTTTAAATGCTAGAGGTTGAAAAAAGAAGAGCAGGAAGAAAAGAGGGAATCCTAGCATGCACACACTGTGAAGTTGCAAGCAAAAGCCACCCCTCAGGACAGGTATGGAGGCTTCCAACTGCAAGATGCCATGGCCCTCTTGCCAAACCAAAAGGGTCCCTCCACACACAGTATCCTCCAACTCCCAATAGGCCCAAACATGAGGCTTCCTGTTGAGCCCACCATTCTTTCTCAACAAGAATCTACCCATTGCCCAGCATAGCTGAGTGTTAGCCTGCAAGGGCTCAGTCAGTGAGGCAAGAACTCTGGGGTCTGTACCCATTATTGCAATTTCTCACGGGAGCCGTGATTTGGTGAGCTTGGGCAGGAATTACAACTGACTGTGGAGCTGCAGGCAGAGGGTACCTGAGGGGACATGACATCCTGAGAGAATTATCGCCAGCAGCAAAGAGTGAGAACTGGGCTTGATGTGTGCAGAGGCTCCTGAACATTCTTGACACCTGTACAGGAGTGGGCTCACTCTCCTTGGCCCACTGACTGCTCCCTGCCTGAGAGCTAGTGTCAGTCCATCATCCCATCAAGTCCCTACAACAGCCGGCAGGAGAGGATGACAGGTCTGGTCTCCTGATCTGAACACTGAACAACCAGCATCCTAGGGAAGCTCAGTGATTCACCTTAGGTGACTACACTAATCAAGGTGAGAGCCAGTGCTTGGAGCCACATTTCTTGGCCCCTTAAGCATTTATTCTACTCCCTCACATCCACTATTTGCATACATTGCTTGCTGCAGCCACACCTTCATCAACCTTTCTCAACCTCTTTCAGTTCACTCTCCCCAGCCAGCCTTGTGGGACCGAATCTGTTTCTTCCAAGGTAATGGTGGCCTGCCAGCAGGCATCTGTCTGCAACAACTGTGTTCTTGGGAATTTCCCAGGTTCTCCTGTAGTTCCCCAATCAGTATTGCTTCCTTCTTTTACTGAATCTTCTTCCTTCTTCTGTTCACTAAACCCAGGTTTCATTCACTCCAGCCTTCCCCCTGAGCAACTTAACTCTTATCTCAACTCTTCCCAGGTGATCCTACACTCTCCTATATCCTGGGTCACAAAACCCAGCTGTGACCACCTGCTGGATGTTGCTGCAGAGTCTCCCCTATGGGATCTGAAAGTCAACATGGCTGAGGAAAGCAATCATGTAGAGTACAGGTTCTACTGCTAGACTGTCGGGGTCCAAGCTCCGGCTCTGTCCAACCCCTTCCCCATATTAGATCTGATCATGTGACTGAATTGCTCTGGTTTCATTAGCTCACTTGTAACACTAGGATACTACCAGAACCTCTCTCATTGGGTGTGTTGAGAATTAACCTGAATACTTAGTTTACACTGATACCTGACATGTCATATAATGCTCCTTATGTCCCACACATTGCATTCTCTACATAAAAGCAGCTTCCCAAAACATCATGAAAAATGAAATAAAAAGATAAATTTATGTTAGTTCCAAAAATTGTGAATGCCATGCATATAAGGAGTTTTCAGAATATTCATGGAAATGTGCACCAGTAAAAAACTATGCATGGGTCTCAAAAACTTTTATACCAGAATAAATTTGCTTTTTAATTCCATTTCTCCATGAGCCTTTTGAAGGAACTTCATAGATTTCAAACATTTGATGATATCTTCATACTTGTATAAAGATCCATTTTTACCCCTACTTTACAGATAGGAAAAACTGAAGGTAAGAAAAATTAAGTGGCTGGTGTGGAGGCACACATAGCAGGTAAAGCTACCACCTGTGATGCTTGTCTCCCATGTGAGTGCCAGTTATTGTTCCAGCTGCCTCACTGCCAATTCAGCTCCCTGCTAATGGCCTGTGAAAATCAACAGAGGATGACCCAAGTGTTTGTGCCCCTGAACCCATGTAGGAGATCTGGAAGAAGCTCTTGGCTCCTGACTTTGGATCAGCTCAGTGTTGGCTTTTGCAGCCAACCAGTGAACTGAAGAGCTTTCCCTTTCTCTCCCTCTCTGTAATTCTGACATTGAAACAAATAAATAAATCTTAAAAGAAAATTTAAGTAACTGGTTAGAGATCTACCTAAGATGGCAGAACTGGGTTTGAACTAGGGGACCCACATAGCACCAAGACCAAAGTTGTTGCCCCTCACTGTAGGCACTGGTGACTCCTTCTTGCCTCCTCACTAACTCTGATTACTCCCCACACCAACCAGCGGCCTCATTCTAACCCACATGACTTGCTCAATCCCTGTTGCCCCTCCCCCAAACTCCCACTGTAGCTGTTCCAAGGGATAGCCCCCGTTTATGATCTGACCTTTAAGGGTTCTCTCTCCCCTCCTCTCTCTCTGTCCAGAGTTCTGCACTTTGAATCTGCTCCCCAAATGGCAGCCCTAAAACATAACTTGCTCTCCTCTAAGGCAGAGAGCTTGTTGTGATCTGTGCATTGCCAGTACCCAGCATGCAGCCAATAGTCATTGAACCACACTGAAGCCTGCTCAGTATCTTCCCTGGAAAACTGGAAATAAATGGAATGTCTAATCATAGGAGGATGGTTCCATAAAGTGTGGGTCATATGCCCAGGTGGAATATTATTTAGGCATTCAAAATGCTTGGGAACAGTTTATAATAACATTAGAGATATTTATGTAACAATATTAAGAGAAAGAAGTAGGATATAAGAGTATATGTATATAAAGACTACAACTAAGCCAATACAAGGACTAGTTATATTTGAGGGATGGCAGCGAAAAGATGTTATTAAAGCCAACATTTATTGAGTGCTAATTAGGGCCCATTGGAAGCATTTTACAGGAACTGACTTATTTAATTCTAAAATCCACCTGACGAACTAGGTAGTATTACTGTCATCCTCATTTTACTGATACAAAAACAAGACAGGAAATAGAAGAGCACAGTGAGGATTCAGCTGATCAACCCCTGACTCCGGGGACCCGTTCCTAACCACAGCCTCCCACGAGGATGGCAATTAGCTGGAATGTTTATAGAGATGGCCTCAGCCATCAAGCACTGAGTGATTCTCTTCCCTTTCTTCATTTCTCTATTTCCTATAATGAGTACATCTCCCTTTTACAACGTATTATTAAAAAGTACAACACCATAATAGAAAAACATCCTCTGATGGGCCAGGAAAGCCAAGTGCATTGGATCTCCACCAGGCCCTCCTTTCCCTATCTCACCTCCCGCCCCCGCCTGCGTGATGCTGGCTCACTGAGTGCAGTTTGTGTTTCCCCACCTGTGCCTGTTCCCCAGTAGTTCTCTCACAATAGATACTTAACCTGCTGCCTGGGATGCATGGGTAAAAGTCAGAGGTCTGTGAACTTATTTTGCGGGGAAAATTCCATCAATTTTTTTAAATCTAACTCCTTACAGAAATGCAACATCTCCTTCCATTTCTATTGCAGATAATAACTCATAGCATATTAACAGTATCTGTGACTAGGTCACCAATAGAAAAAAAATCACCAATATTTCATACCACATTACAGCACTCTGAATATCTGGAAATACCATTGTTCTTCAGTACCACTTCAAGATTATAATAGTTACAGCTGATGCCGAGCTTGACAATTTAACAAATTGAGAAAGACGTACACATACTACTGTATCACTATTAAAATGTTTTAACTGCATTCCATATAATTGGTTTCCTTGGCCATCTATCTATGTTTGCTCTTTTCCATGGATGGACATTTTTCCAAGATGGGTCCCTCTGTGTCCTTCAGTGTATTATG